ATCGAACGAATTTTGATTTTACCACTCGTAATTATTACGTAATAATATTTTTAACGACGAATAATTATTTGAAAACATTTTAAAAAAAAAAAACCGTTGAAAGGTGGAATTTTTCGGTGTCATTAAACAAATAAATAATAATGATAATAATCGAAGCCATATCGAAAAACCGGGTATACAAATTCAATTCCGTAAAACTATGCCAATCGAAAGTAAAGTAAAAAAAATGAAAATTAATAGGATGTGGTAAAAAAAAAAAAAAAATAAACCGGAAATAATTTGAATGATCGCGAGATCTATGACGTAATCGCTGGAAAACGCTCGTAAAACTTTTTTTTTTATCTCGATTAAAATTTAAATAATAATAATAATAATAATCACTAACCTGGATAAAAAAAAAATAATTAATTAAATTTTACTTTAAAAAAAAAAATACATAATAAATTATTAATAATCGTGTCACGTGCGTGTGCGTGCGTTTTTTTTTCGACGTCTTTCAACTTCTGACGACGAGAAAAAATAATTTTTAATTTTCTTATATGATCCGCCGCCATTTTCTTTCAAGTTTCTTTTATAAAAGAGAGAGAGAATAATATATTTTATTAATTATTTTTTAAAGCGTAATATAAATTAATTAATTAATTAATTAATTCACCTTTTAAATAATAAATTATAATTTATAATTATGAAACGCGATTTTGATACGAACGCAAAAAAAAAAAAAAAAAACAAAATGGACGACGTCGTGTGAATCCTTTTAAGAATTTTATTATATATATTTGTTCGTATACGATTAAAATTTTAAAAGTTTTTTTTTTTTTTGTTTTGGATCGTGAAAGAATTTAGATGACGTTTTATGTGATATAAATACCTTTTTGAGAGAATAACAACGTGTTATTTTGATCAGGAAATGCGAAAAGAATATTAAAAAAAAAAAAAAAAACTATTCAAAAATAACGGTTCTTTGCAAAAAAAAAATAAAATAAATAACGAACGTACGAAATAAAAATTTTTCACGTGGTGTTGGAAGGGAAGGAAGGCTAACGGGGGTCGGGGGAAGGGAAGAGAGAGGGGAGTAGTGTATCCCTTTAAAAAAAAACCCGAACGAAACAATATGTATAAAATAAATTAAGACATCACAACTTTCTCACAAAAAAAATTACCATGTTTTTTCATATATAATTTTTACCTTTTATCATATCAATTAATAAAAATTAATTTTAATCTTATCATCATCATCACTATCATCATCATCGTTATTATTATTATGAAATCAAAGAAAGTATTATTATTTATTGTACCTGAATTTTTTTTTTCTTGACGTGTATATTATTTATTGTGATTAATAAAATCTAACGTTTAAAAAAAAAAAAAAATTATTTTAATTTGTACGTTGAAATTTTTTTTTTTTTGATTTATTATAAATAAAAAAACTTTTTCTATAAACCGCGCGCACTCACACATCAAAATCACGTCATTACGTAATTAATAAAAATTTTTTCGTTCCGGTTATTTTTCCGGGAACGAAAAAAAAAACAAAACAAATAAAAATTTTTCTTCAAATTCTTCTTCGGGTGTGTGTGCAAAATGTTTCCTATGTAATTAAATGAGTGAGTGAGGGAGAGAGATCGAAAATGAGGTGTGAGGATTAATGTACGAGAGAGAGAGAGAGAGAGTGAAAGAGGCAAGACAACAAGTAGACAAGAGAGATAGAAAGAGGCATGAAGATAAATATACGAGAAAGAGAGAGAGAGATAAAAAAGAGGCATGAGGATAAGTGTATGAGAAAGAGAGAAAGAGGCAAGAGAACAAGTGTACGAGGGAGAGAGAGAGAAAAAGAGAAAAAAAAAAGGCGTGAGGACAAGCGTTCGAGTGAGAAAGAGAGGTAGGGTAAGGAAAATTTAATAAAACCCGATTATTATTATTATTATTTTACATCAAAGACGAAAAATACAAAAAAAAAAAAATACCATAAAAATTATCATAATTATTATTATTATTATTATTATTATTAATAATTTTCCTTCCATCCCTTTAGAAAAAAAAAACTTCATTATCAATGACTCCATATCGAATTCCATGAAATATTTTTTTTTTATTAATTTATTATTATCATTATTATTATTAATGTTTTGATTCGTTCGTTTAAATCATGAATATTTTATTAAAATATTATTATCATTATTATTATTATTATTATTATTAATAATTAATATTAAAAAAAAAAAAATGATTGCGATCGACTTGAATACCTTGAATTATCAAGTTTCATAAATGAAAGTTTTTTTTTTTTTTATTTGAAATTTTCTCCAGGATTTTTTTTTTTAATCATCGTCGTTATCATTTTAAATTCGTCGTTATCAAAATATGTATATGATGATATAAGTTTTAAAACATTTATCATGATTATTATTATCATTAATTTTATAAATTTCATATAGGTCTTTTAAAAATAATAGAAGAAAATTTCGAATACACGGAAACGATCGATTTTTTAATTTCCGGTTTTTACAAGAGGTAAACCTTGAAAAGAAAAAAGCATAGTTCAACTGGAAGAATTGGTTAAAGAATGGTACAACCACAACCGGAAACCAAAATTTACAGTCTGTACAATTAATAAATTCACACGAAAAATTATTCAGGTCAAAAAAAAAACCGGAAATCATAATCTCGAAACACAATTTAAAAAAAAAAAAAATGGCGCGTGTGAATGAATAAAGGGGAGTCTGAAATTGTGAGGATTTGAATAAGAATCAAAAAAACTGATGAGATTTCGATTGTCGTGGAAGCAGCAGTTGAAGTCGTGTCAGCTGTCGCGTGTCCACCATCACCACCACCACCACCATT